ATATGCATTGCTAAGAACTTCATTTGGACAACTTTAAAGGCGACTTTCTCAATATTTTGATTTTTTTGCACCCTCAGATTCCAGATTTTCAAATAGTTGTATCTCGGCCAAATATTGTTTTATCCTAACAAACCATACACCAATGGAAAGCTTGTTTATTCAGCTTACAGATGATGTATAAATCTCAATTTCGAAAAATTGACACTTAAAAGACTGGTTTTGTGGTCCAGGGTCACATATAACTTTTGCGCAGATTTTCCCCTGATTTGCAGTCTGGATTAACAGATACTAGTTTCTGAATGTCAGAGCCTGTCTGCAGATTTTGAGAAGTCAGAATTGAGAGATTTCACAGAAAATCACACAGATCACAGTTTGTTTTTAAAGATTCAGAATATGATTCCATGTAGTTGGAGAAAATCAGATATCTTTGGTTTTTTTAGCCAATTTTATAACACATGGTTTTCAGTTGTGCGTCTCTCTCTGCGCACGTCTGTAGTGTTCAGAACGAGCTGACAGTGTCTGGCAGTGTGTGTTCCTCAATCGATCAGTATATGATAACTGTTAAAGTCAGCAAGTATATGATGACTAGTTTTAAAATGCAGACATTAATGATCACTAAAGTCAGCGGAGTTTCCTGTAAGAACATTTGTGGATCACCATTATTTTTTTTTTTCTAAGACAGTTTTTTACTGTGGTTTGACTGATTCCACATTTCCCTACTCCTGAAAAGTACGTAAACACAAACTGTGCTTGGTCATCTTACATGCTGGTCAAACGAGAGAGGAGTTCCTGATCACAGAACTTGCCAGTCTTTATGCAGTCAAGAGGTCTTTACACAAAGATAGTCCTAACTAATTCTGGCATCTGCTGTGTCAGTCTGCTCTGCATGCAAAAACAAAAGCAACAGGTAAACAAAGACGGAGGTCAAGGGTGCTCTGCATCGTCATACATAAATAGATGCTCCTGATCGAGACACATAGTTTAACCAGGCCAAGGTGGAAGTGACACCACGTTATCATCTCGTGTGAAGTACAGGAAACTTGTTTGGAAAGTAGTATTATTAATATTTTGGTAGCGCTTTATTTTACAGTCCTGTTCTGCATGTACATACTATGTGCTCTGTTCAGTTTACTGAATAACGACACTACTGTCTTGCTACAGCTGCTACTTTGGATTTGCCTCATTTTAGAAGTTTACTGTGACGCTGCTTTGAAACAATCTGCATTGTATGAAGCGCTATGGAAATAAAGGTGACTTGACTAATTACAATAACAAGGTAATTGACTCTGAACCTACTCTTAAATCTACTCCTAGCTGCCTTCTATTCCTCAGTACGTGAAGTACACTGTAAATGCAAGTAGTGTAAAATCAAATGCAATCAATATTGTAATTCTATTTAGAGTCACTAATTTAGAATTTACACCATTATACAAAGACAAAACATCTAAGTTGAATGAATCATACTTCACTGAGCCAAGTAAAAGTGAAACACTCATATCTGAGATAACAGCCTCATAGATACAGATTACGTCCAGAGTGTGCAGTTCTGAACAGAAAGTGTTTGTTTGATTAGCCTGACTGGACAGAGACACATAGTTTAACCAGGCCAAGGTGGAAGTGACACCACGTTATCATCTCGTGTGAAGTACAGGAAACTTGTTTGGAAAGTAGTATTATTAATATTTTGGTAGCGCTTTATTTTACAGTCCTGTTCTGCATGTACATACTATGTGCTCTGTTCAGTTTACTGAATAACGACACTACTGTCTTGCTACAGCTGCTACTTTGGATTTGCCTCATTTTAGAAGTTTACTGTGACGCTGCTTTGAAACAATCTGCATTGTATGAAGCGCTATGGAAATAAAGGTGACTTGACTAATTACAATAACAAGGTAATTGACTCTGAACCTACTCTTAAATCTACTCCTAGCTGCCTTCTATTCCTCAGTACGTGAAGTACACTGTAAATGCAAGTAGTGTAAAATCAAATGCAATCAATATTGTAATTCTATTTAGAGTCACTAATTTAGAATTTACACCATTATACAAAGACAAAACATCTAAGTTGAATGAATCATACTTCACTGAGCCAGAAAGTGTTTGTTTGATCAGCCTGACTGGACACGACAGCATCAGCTCACCAAGTCAGAATTGAGAGATTTCACAGAAAATCACACAGATCACAGTTTTGTGTTTGGGTGGGTCAGTTTGTGGTGGGACGCTTGGTTTTCCAAAACATAGTCAGTGAGGGACAGCTTCTGTTTGCTGGTGCAGGAAATACACACTGCACCTTTCAGAATGTGACGTATGCAGGCGTGTGATGAGCTTTAGCAGGTCATCTGACAGCCAAAGGCGTTGAGCGTCACTGACAAGCCTTCCTCAAACTCAGCTGATTCACACCCTCCAGAGCATGGAAATAACAGCGGGTCACGTCCAGCTGCCTGTGTGGCAGGGCAGTAAAATCTGTCCAAAGTCCAGCCGCCTTCTGAGGTTAATGATTGGGAAACTGGATGTGCTTCTGTTTGCATGGATTTGCTTGTGGAAAAGTCAAACTCAGAGAGGTGCAGCAGACACCGCACTCCACCGCCTCTTGCATAATTTAAGCGCGCTGGTGTCACGCTGCAGACAGGGCATCGTGTTCTGCTTCAAAGATGTGCGTGACCCTCTCACCCAAATATCTGCTCCTATTTCTGACACACTACTTTCCCAAACCAAACCAACATAGTGGCATGTCAGCATATGCTCCAGCACAAGGAGCCACACCTCCTGTTACACAATTTAGCAAGATTTTTAGCAAGAAATCTGCAAACTATCACTCATAAAAACGAACTGGTCTGGTTAGGAAAATGATATGGTTATTATATGGTTAATGGCAGCATAAAGAAATCTTTACACCATGTTAGACATGCAATTACTCAATCACAGCCGAACTGAACATATTTGATGTTTAACACACAGTTAACATAGATTTCAGGGTGATGGATTTGTTTCTTATAAACACGCAGCTTTTGTCTTCTCCGGATGTTTACTGATGGACTGGAGTGGTGTGGATTACTTGTGATGCTTTTATCAGCTGTTTGGACTCTCATTCTGACGGCACCCATTCACTTCTTGAGCGAGTGATGTAATGCTACATTTCTCCAAATCTGATGAAGAAACTAACTCATCTACATCTCGGATGGCCGGAGGGTGAACACATTTTCAGCTAATCTTAAGTTTTTAGGTGAAATGTTCCTTTAAGGGTAATTAACCTAAATGGCTTGCTTACAGCTCTCTGCATAATAAACCAGGAGAGGAGTAAATTACAGCCTGTGGCCTGCAGTCACAACTAGACTGCCACGTCTCAAGTTTCCCTATACTTTCATTTAAGACCCACTGGTCCAGGACCAGAGCAGCCCTGAGGTATTTTGGGGTATGGAAGACAGAAGGAATGGGGGGCGACACTTAAAGAGTGTACATAAGATCATATGCTAGGATTACAGAGTAGCCAGAGAACAGCTGATTTATTGCTCCATGCCAAAAAAGGATTGACCTGTCCAAACATTACGAGGTTATTTGTGTCACTTGCCCTGCGTGACTTGACATTTAACAGAGCACGCTTCACCGGCACTATCTGAGATAAACAGGTTAAAGCAAACAGCAGCACAACATCAGACGTGCTGTAAATGCTTACCGATGCCGGTGTTGGCGCTGACCACGAGCATGGCAAAGTCTGGACAGTAGCTGGTCAAGCCAAAGATGGTGGTCTTGAGATATTTGTGGTGGCCTGCCAGGTCTATGAAGGTGATCATTTTTGAGGCAATCTCGCAGATTTCCTCCGCCGTTCGGGACTCACTGTAGTTCACCACCTAGAAGAACAGACACCGATGCAGATTAACATACACATGCAAAGTGCCACCAGAAACCTTTAAGTTCATGTTTAATGCTGGGCTGCAAGAAAATGGTTAAACAGTTGATCACGATTATTTTGCTTATCACTATTATTAATCACAATTATTTGCATTTAAAAATTTGTAACATTTAATCAGAATTACTGCAAGTTCACATAAGCACAAATTAAAAGAAGGTCAACTCGCATGGTTTGCTCGCAGATTTAGTAAACGACTGCATGAAAGAAAACAGACTTCTTGTATTACACTTATTTTATTATATACTCCAGCTTACATGTTTACCGGTATTTTCAGCTCATGAGTGCTTTTTCCGTAATGTAGAGAGAGCATGTGCACATGGTTGCCAGGTTGGGAAGATTAAGTAAACCAATGCGCAAAAAGTGTTTCGATTTATGAAAACAGGTCTGATTGGGGGGGGGATTTAAACTCTTGACATCTGGCAACCGCAACCATGAACGCTTATGGAGGCTTGTTACCAACGCAAGATAACACAAATGTCAAAGTAAAGTGAACTGTTGTCAGGATAAATAACCAGCAGGCAAATATCGCAGAGGATTTGATTAATAAATCGAGAGAAGCAGAAATCGTGATCACGATTAAAATGCGATTTATTGTGCAGCCCTATGATAATCCATAATACACCTTTAGGGTGAAGTTACGGCTGGGCAGTACATATGCAATGTGACTGTAGAAAAATGTGTAAACCACGATACAACAGTAAATATATTTGTGTGGCTATTAGTGGGCAGTTATTAAAGTGTGAAGAGTGAAAGAGAGGCAAGACCTACTGCAAAAATACAAATCACGACACGTCCCGAACAAGTCCAGGCAAGCAAGAACTTGTTATAAAAGGGTATTAGGCACATTTTGAGCTTAGTTTGTTTACAGTTGCCAAGCAACAATGAAACTTGACATCTTATTATAGAAATAAACTGATGTGTGATCACAAGAAAAGTGACACTCTTTACACTCTACGAATGCGCGGTCACAGTTGTCTGAGGCACACCGTGCAGCAGTTCTCACCTCTCCTCTGCTGTCGAAGCCCAGGATCTCAATGCTGATACTCGAGGTTCGTCCGGTCTGGATTTCATGAAGGTGTCTGAAGAGGTTGAGTCGCGCTCTCCCTCTCCCGTTGTCCAGCTCTCCTTGTGTAAGCACACCAAGCAGAGTGGACTTCCCTGAGTCCACGTTACCCAGCACTGCTACCCGCAGGTCCAAGAACTGCAGACGCGTCACATAACGTCATTAACACAGGCCTGAGAGCATCAAACGCATCAGAAGAACATGACACAAACACCAGACGCTTACCTGCTGGTCATCTGGCACTTTCCTGACGAGCACCTCGGCTATTCTGTGTGGCTCGTCAGAGTCGTGATCCACCTCCCTCTCTCTGAGAACTGTGATGTCTGCACCCACCCTGAACACACACACACACACACACAGCACTCACAAACAACTCTACACGCATCCCACTGCGGCTATCAGCCTCACCGAAGCGTCTCGTGAAAACAAGTGCACTTGACCATACTTTAGAAGAGTGCTAATTACTGAAATAATACTTTAAAAGAATATACTTCAGAGCAAACTGAATATAATGTTCTCTGACACTTAACTGCAATGAACTGTAAGTTTAAATGTATGTCAAATGCAATTTGTGAGTGCTTTTTTGACCCACTTAAGTACATCTTTTATGTAATTTAATAATTTCTTCTATTATCTTTGAATATGGTTAAAGTACTGTGGAATGTACTGACAGGCATTTATGATAAACTAAAATATACTTTAATATACTGTCATTTCTTTTGAAACATGCACGTCACGTATGTAATATATTTGTTATTACACATTTGTAATGGTGAATTTGCAATTTAGTACATTTAAAATATCTAAACTTTTAATGAATAATAACATACTACAGTTAAAATATGAAGTACTTAACATGTGCTTTAGTATGTTACTCAACACATCAAAATAAGTGTACTTCTTTAAAGCACAGCAAAAGATTAATAAAACAAAATTTAACATGTACGGTAAAACTCAACTGTTTAACTCTAGGGGAGTCGGAAAATGAGCCCATTTTCAAAAATAGTGGAGTGTTCCTTTAATTTGACATTATTACAAAATGCATTTTTTAAAATGTACTAAGTGCGCTAAAAAACTGTTTTGCAAGTGTCTCTCTTTAAGTATACTTAAGAGACCTTTTATTTCATTAATGTTCTCTGCAGGTGCGTAAAAAAAAAACACTTTTAAAAATACTTTTAAGATTTGACGTACAATACAAGTGCACAATCAATACAATTAATCGCACTATTTTTTCACGATCTTTCTGAAACATTAATATATATGCGGTGCAACAAATACTACTACAATGTATAAATATTTTGCACGTATATTATTATAATTGCATGAGAACTTTCTCTTTTTACTGTTTCGGGGTGAGTGTGACCTATGCACGCCCCTGACACGCTTTGTGAGATTCACCCAAATATTTAGAGCTTGAATTTGACACATTTATGAGACAAGATGAGTTTGTCAGGTTAGTATTAGTATGCAGAATGAGCGTGTAGCGGCTGAGGCCGGTGTCTCTGTGCGTTCGTACTTCTCAGCCATCCTGCGCAGTGTTTTGAGAGAGGCCTTCATGTCCTCCTCTGTCAGGCCCACCAGCAGCCCGTTGTCCTCCACCCCGATCTGATACACCGCCTCGCCGCGGCCCTCCTGTAAGCGCCACTTCATCTGCGTGGCCAGGTGCTCGAAGCGGTACTGCGTGGGGTTCACCAGCTTCAGCTAAAACACAACACAGACCACGCTAAAGATAACAACAACACTGTCTGGCTGAAGGTAGAAATGGAAGTGCTTGGTTGTGATTCGGGCATCAGCAGTACAAACATAATGCAGTAATGAAGGGAGTGTTTTGTTTGCCGGCAGCTAAACACAGCAGCTGAAGTGTATAAAAAGCTCTGCTAATCTACTGCTGCATACATTTACATTTACTCGGACTGCAGCCTGCTCGCTACTTACAATGCATTGTGGGTAACCTATGCATGCGTAAAATGCAATACAAAATATCATCGACCAGGTGTATTCTTTCAACAAACATTCATGCGCAAATCACGCTCTGTTGTGTTCGGTGCATATCTGGTAAATATGTCTGCAGATGTTCGCTTGCGGAGAGTTTACCTTGTACTCAATGTTTCCCTCTTCAGCCTGAAACAAAAGACAGGACAGAGTTAACGCTTGAACCGAGCTCAAACGTCACACAGTTCAGGATTCAAAACCACAAAGACAGAAGAGAAAGAGCCGCGCAGAAAGTCCAACAGATATGTTGGCTCAGAATAGTCTCTTACTGTACATGTCTTACTTAACTACCTTAATTTGAGATCCATTTCCCTCACATTTTAACTGTAGGTCGGATCAGTTAAAGCAAGCTTTGCTATTGCTAACTTCAAAACTATTTAAGCACAGACAAAACGAACAAGGTAGTGTTGAACACGCGTCACAAGCCCTAGGCATAATTCATTTGCTTTTACTAAAGTAGTAACAATCTGGTTCAACAAGTCCAGCTAATGACTGACTTCAACACTGAATCAGCATTCATCACCTCTTCCCGCCTTTCTCTCTGATATTCACAAACCCGTCAATGTGACACAATGAAACAATACGGACCCAATAATGATTCAACAGACTGGAAGTCATAGAAACGGCCCAACCTCTCATTACACTCCTGCTCTCTCATCTTTATTGATGTCCACGTCTCGCTTTTTCTTTCTACAGAAGCTCTCCTTTATTGCCAGCCAAACAAAAAAGTGAAAGCCATGAATTTCTCTCAAACGTTCTGCAGTGTGACAAGCTATAATAATTCAACTCTTATGTAATTAATTATCACACATACAAGCAGTTTTATAAGCTTAAATTAATGGACAGGTTATGTGGAATACATGTACTTGCCACAACAATGTAAAAATACTATTATATTGATTAAATTATAGTACATTTAAAAAAATAAAAAAAACCATGAAGTTCTACTGTAAAATACATTGCATAAGTAAATAATACGACTATGTATAGGGAAAGGTGCATTTCCAGGTGTTACATTTCTTTATATTTGATTTCAAAAAGCATCTTCTTATGGCATCAAAGTTTGTTATGCTGCATTTCATGTTTATTATTATGTTTATAGGGTAACAATGGGCTCAGCTATTTTTGAGTTGCTAGAGAGGCTAATTTTATACGTTTCTGTTATCATGTTTCATCGGTCTTATTATTAGCATATTTTACAGTAATAACCCTGTTTACATTATACAATGACTGTAGCTTCATCTAAGTGTGTTATTATCACTGCAGTTGCAGTCACAAACCCCGAAACAAACAAAACATATACTAATCTCGTTAGAAGGAACCAGAAGTATAAATGCAGTAAAGCGGGAGGACAGTGTAAAACAGGCAGATGTGTTTGAGCACAGCTAAACAGAGCAGACTCACCTCTGGAGGTAGATAAGGCGGGTTATTGCTGGCTTTTGGATATCGGGCTGACCGGGTTTTGAACTTTTTGCTTCCATTTTTGGCGGTTTTTCTGCCGCCGGACTTTTGTGCTGCAGCAGCGGCCCCGAAGAGCTCGGACACCCGCGGGTCCATCCCTGCCCAAACCCTGAAATAATGATGACCGGCGCCTGGAAAACCACCCTGTCTGTCCTACGCCATTCACCCCGCTGCTCCCGAGAGATATAAACACACAGAAAGGCAGCGAAGCATCCTAAATAAGCTCGAGCCGCCGGCGGGGCTCAACCCCCCACAACACAACAACAAACCAACGTCCGGTGTTACAAGATTATCGGTTTCAGTGGGCGGAGCATACATGAATATTCATGAGTTTCCCGGACATGCGCGTGGAACCAAGTGGAACTGAGAATTTCAGTTCACGCTCCTTGTATCTCAGCAGGTTTAATGTTATATTTTAAAAAAGGTAAATATTTTACAGCGTCTGCATCAGATTAAAAATATTAAAAAACATTAATATTGTGGAATAATTTTACTATTTAAAATAAAGTCCCCCCCCCCTGTGTTTTCAGATCTCAACTTCTCCTCATATATATATATCCCATTAAACCTGCTGAGATACAAGGAGCTTGAACTGAAATTCTCAGTTCCACTTGGTTCCACGCGCATGTCCGGGAAACTCATGAATATTCATATATGCTCCGCCCACTGAAACAGAAAATCTCGGAAACCGAAAATCTCGTAACACCGGTTCAAGTTTGCGGAAGTGCGTCATGCAAACTTTCTGTTCATTACGTCAGGCGAAAGTGACTAAAATATATGTTCTTATTTGGTACTGTATTGTATAATGTTATTGCTCTGTGAAACGTTGTCATAAGAGTATATAGAATAGAATAGAATAGATCCTGTGAGAACACTAGAACTGGTTCCACAACATTCTGAAAAAAAACAAGACGGAAGTATCGTTATAATCTGAGTGACTGATGAATATTCATCATTTCGGCATATGCTGCAATCACCACGCAACCTTACACGAATAGCCTGAGGCACATAACAAAAAGTGAAACAAAACATTGCGCTGCTTTTACATCAGTTTTGTTATTGTGAAAAAATAAAATACAATCTATGATCAACTTTTTCTCTAGGGATATTTGGCTTTCTGTTTACTTTGAAGACGACTGTACACTGTCTACATGAGCATTTCTTTATTTAGCTGGTTACACTTTATTTTAAGGTGTCCTTGTTACAGTCTAATTATACATTTAAGTACTGAGTAATATTAATTAACTACATGTAATTACTATAGGGTTAGGGTTATGATTAGGGTTTGTCTTAGGGTTACTTGCATGTAATTATGCATAATTAATTACATTACTTACTATTATAATTGTTATTATAATAGTAAGTAGGCCTATATGAAACAGTGTAACAATGACACCTTAAAATTAAGGGTTACCATTTAGCTTTCTCGGAACGTTTTGTAGCATTTTGTTGTGTTTGAGAACCTTTAAAATTGTTTCAAAAACGGTTAAAAATGTGGACAGACGCCTAAGAGTATAATAATTAAAAACTGTGGAAGAAGAAGCCCCCTGCTGTAAGAAGCCTTTAATCACACCTTTAATTTTCCTCTTGAGGAAAATAAATAAATAATAGGAAAATAAATAAATAATAGGAAAATAAATAGATAAATAAATGACTTGATAAAACAAATATAGTTATTTTTAATAGAAATTAATCCTGAATTAATTTTTTTAAATGATTTTTTTCCTTTATGTATTATTTTCTGTATTTATTTTGATACTTTTTAACTTTTATTTGCTTATTTAATTTTCTATCTATCTATCTATTTATTTTTAAATGTATTTATTTATTCATGCATTTATTTATTTTTTAATATTTATTTATTCTCGCATGTTTTTATTTCCAGATTTATGTATTAATTTATTTCGTTTTACTTCTCCGTGTATAACATGGAAACGAGAGAGGTCCTTGTGGAGCTCCGGCAAAAGGCCCCTGGGGATGTCTTGCCCCAAAATATAAGGTCGCTTGAAAATATTAAAGATAAAGTGTTAAAGAGTGAGTGAGAGTGAATTGGAGACGTTAGCTTTAGCTTACCTCCATGTCAGGATGAAATAGTCTGAGAGAAATGTATTATGGGGGAGGTGTGTGTGTGTGTGTGTGTGTGTGTACTTGTTTATTCTACATTGTGGGGACCAGATGCATAATTTTACCAATTTGGTTAGATTTTGCAAAAATAAAATTATTAAGATTAATTTGGCCTTTAGATAAAATGTTCTGTAAAGGTCAGATGCCCCTGGGGCTTCTTGCCCCAGGAATGGAGTCATTTTGCCCCAAAGGTGGGGCAAGATTGCCCCATTTCATAATTACTTGTGGGGACCAGATGCATAATTTTACCAATTTGGTTAGATTTTGCAAAAATAAAATTATTAAGATTAATTTGGCCTTTAGATAAAATGTTCTGTAAAGGTCAGACGCCCCCGGGGCTTCTTGCCCCAGGAATGGAGTCATTTTGCCCCAATGGTGGGGCAAGATTGCCCCATTTCATAATTTAAATTTTTGTGCCATTACAACTATTGTTTCCATTTGATTCCCATAATAGTATGTAGGGTGATGCATAACGATCCTCTACATGCATATGGAGATTGTTCATGGGGTTCTTCCCCTACAGAGTGATTTAAAGTAAGTGCTCAAACGGCGCAACAGCGCCACCCATCTGCAATAAGAGAAATAGGAAATATTTCACATTGACCAAGTAGGAAATATGGATGTTTCCCCAGCAAGAAGCTGCATATTTGGACCACACCAACTGTTTTGAAAATAGTTTTGGTTGTTTGGCTTTTATTAAACATTATTGTAACTTATCTCCCCCCAAAAATGTCTACAAGATAATGATGAGTTAGTTATACAGTATCAGTCCTCAAAATTGTTTGGGTGGCATCACAAAAGCAATTCAAGTGTTCTGACCTGATCAATTATCTTAAAACAAACAAACAAACAAACAGAGTAATCCAGTAGTCACGCTGTCACAGTATGGAGCTTGTTTTCTGTGTTTTCCTGTTCTCCCGCCTTGCTTTTGTTCATTGACCTAGTTTCTGTCTCCCCTTGATTTCATTAGTTAGTTCACCTGTGCCTTGTTAATTATCCTCATTTGGTAATAATAATAATGTTTTATTTATATAGCGCCTTTCCAGGGCTCAAGGACGCTTTACAATGGTCTGAGTACTTTAGTTCCCCTTTCAGTCCAGTTCATTGTCAGCTATTGTCGTTGAGTATGCTGCTTGTGTCTCCCTGTGTGTCTATTGAATCTTCATCATCTTGGATTATTATTAAATGCTTACCGAATCATCTTCGTCTTCGCATTATAACAGTGTCTGACTGCGCCATCCACAGTATATACTGCCATTACTATGTAATCAGAAAGAAAACCATTATTTCGACAGTCTTCAGTGATAATTACAAGCCACTCAAGTGCATTTACACGGCTAGAAATGACAGGGATTTATGCTGATATTGTTCATTTTTGGAGGGCACTTTATTTGTGGTTTAAATTGCAGATATGGGAATGTGTAATGTGTTGAGAATGTACACAAACAGTGTTATAAACTGTATTGCCTTCATTTATTTTCATACATAGGCTATTCATTATTGCTTCGTATGAAGCATTATGCAATGTTTGTTAATAAAAGTGCTGTGCCATGTTATTAGACTGCAGCTGATGATGCAGCAGACATGCGAGTCAGTGTTTGTCTGGAGAGTGAGTGTGAGTCCGGAAGCGGCTGGTTTTCCCTGGAGCTGGAATGTGCAGCTGGACTCTCAGCAGGGAATGTGCATGCAGTGAGAAGTGATCCCTCCCTTACGATTCTTTGAAGATGGACAAATCACTCGGCCTGATCTTCCTGTGGATCTGTGTGGGTCACATGGCACACGCTGCTGTCATGGAGAAACTGGCAAACTTCAAGATCTGTGCAGACAAGGACTGCTCATGTGAGTTACACTATTCATCACAGTACACGGCAACACTATGTTTAATGACTTGGAAACAATATTAAGCTAGTTATTAATTATGATTACTATTGTCCAAAGCTATTTCTGTTTCATAGATGCTTGTAGCTTAGATTGTGTTGAGAGGCAGGTTTCTTAGTGACAGCGTACACCACATGTTGGTCAACATGTTTTCAACAAACTGCATTTTCTTTCCTGGGCAATAGTGGTGGGAATATTCAGTTATTGTTTTATTTTTGTAACTGTTCTTTGTTTATGAAGACTGGTTTCTGTCTCACAGATGTGATTTCAATGGCTAAAGCTCTTGAAGACTACGTCGCTTCAGACTGCAGATACATCAACCTGAGACGTGGCCAGAGTATCTATGTGTTTTCTAAACTCAAGCCTGTAGAGGGAGCCGGAGTCTTTTGGTCTGGAAGTGTGCGTGTCTTTACATTTGACATTTCCCTCAGCTGATCTGACTGCAGACCCAGAAATCACAGCAGCAGCTTTGCTTTTGCAGGTCTACGGTGAGCGCTATGTAGACCAGATGGGTGTGATCGGATATTTCCCCAGTAACTATGTCAATGAGACACACGTATTTCAGGAGAAAACGGTTGAGATCCCAACCACTGTGAGTATTTAATCTACTGCTCTTCACATTATACTTTTTATCCTGACAATGCATTTTATATTTGGTTTTCTTTCTCTCTGTAGGACATGGACTTCTTCTGTGCATAAAGACTGCAACTTACACTAGCGGTTCTCAACCGTTTCGACTCTAAGGCCATTGCCCATAGTTCACAACAATATTCAAAGGCCCCCTATAGGCCTAGTTTTGTCTTCAAAACTTATTTTAATCTAGTTTCTGTAAAGTAAAATAAGTCACTGAAATAATAATGATTCAAATAAGAGCTTAATGTTCTTCAGGGATCGCACTCTTTTTAACCAATTATTTTACACAACTTTTCCAGTCGTTTATAATAAGAATTAAGGATAGAGATTTGAAATTCATTATTTCTCACAGTTTCTACATGAGAAAATTCTTTAAAGCCTGGCATAAGAAAAATGTATGTTCTTTATAAAAGTGGCCAAAACTTTTGTAATTAGTCTACCTCATATCTCAAGGTTTTCCAAGACATTCTTCAAAGGAAAAAAAAAAGTTGAGTGGGACAATTAAAATTTTAATTAGAGTTGTTTTAGCTTATTTTCATGCCCTTTTGTCTTATTTCAAATCACTTTAAGCCATCTTGAGGCCCATTTGGAGGTTTGCTGAAGCCCTCTTGTGTGCTTTATGTATTCAAGTTTTTTTTT